ACACATTCAAACCAAACAAAATTATATTAAGTTCACGGTTGTTCATGCAGTGCCTACTTACGTGCCTATGCTTTTGGGGTAAATAGTTCCACGTTCTCAGCTTTCGAGACTCGTCACGCCTGAGATATTATGGAGGCCGAGTAGATCAAGCATGATCACAGCCGTACTGAGTACAGTAAGTGCAAGCACCTCTTACGATCACAAGTGAGAAGTCTTGTAGTTAGGGTACCGTGAGCTGTTAACTGAGATAAAATCACGCAGCCTAACTCACAGTGCTCTCTCGGTACGATAAATGTGTGTTCCCTGACGTCTTGTAGTCTTCTCAATACTGACAACTAAAAACAAAATCCCACGTTCTTATTTTGTTAACTCATGGAGATAAACAATTCCATAGACTTTCAAGTACGGTGCACCATAATGGCGAACTTCTAACCAGAATTCCAGGACCTTGTGGTCTTGCAGCGGAAGCAAGGCTGGTCATAGTTCCGTAAGATTGTGCTCACCAGGTGGGGTGGTTTATGCCGAAGCATAGTCGGCAGCGTGCGCGTTAGTCTTCTGGGCCATGGTTATTTTTGCGTGAACAACAAGTTGTCAACTCTAAAATGAGGTAAACTGAATGGATAGACCGTTGGTGAAATGGAGGGTCTTCAACCTTTCTGCAGCCAGCAGAGGCACGAAGCGCCCTTGGGTGCTCGATTCACTTGAGGACCGACTAACGGCAGTTTCGAATGAAGTGACTGACCGAAGGAGTCTTATAGGATCTGACTTTTAGCAGGACTAACATTACGCAAAAATTGGCATGCCTTTCTTGTCACAAGCTGCTCTGAGTCGTGCCATTTTATGTTTCAGCACCGAAAATGGGCGACGATGACTGGGATGAGAGTCCAGATTTCAAGGTGAGTGACTTCCTTTTTGGCGGTGACACCCACATCTTGTGCAGATCGAAATGACTGAGCAGGAGCAGCGTTGGGGCTCAAAGGCAATACCTGGCACTGGACGCGTTGGACATATTGAGTAAGTATGACTGTGAATCCTCCTTTGTGGACTTTCTGCTTTGACAATGGTAGAATATTCAAACGCAGTAATTGTCACATACAGAGTATGTGTACTTTTTCCAGAACAAACAGTGGGTAAACTAGGTGTGTGTTTCGGTGGTCGAATATTGTCAACTCAAATTGACCACACTCTTCCTACCCGTTGGTCACTTTTGTCGATTAGCAGCGAGGCTAGTCTTAATTTTCTTACTTTTCTCAGACCTTTCAGGGGATAATCTTACTGTGGTATTTCCTCACACTGCCTCCCAAGCTGGTGTCGAACTAGAAAGTACTATTTTCATTGCTAGTGCTTCTCTGAGTCTGTCATCCCCACCTATTTTGCTACCGGACGTTTGTGCCAACCACCCTTTGGTGTCAATACAAGCGAACTTGCGAGTCCCAGGAAGTAACTGAGAAGAAGACGACTCGATCGCTGGCACAATACTTTATTCGTCAGGCGAATAAAAGTATTGTCCCATCGATCTAGTCATCTTCTTATCCTCCTTTGGTGTCCTTTCCGACACCGATTTGACTGGCTGGTTGCTCACCCACAATATACTGCATGTCTTCGAACGGTGGGGAGGGGGCTGTATGGCCGTTTTACGCAGGGGTATAATCCCATATACAGAAGCTTCTGTGCCGAAATTTTATGAGCTAAGGCAAACTCGACTTTCTTGGATAGATTATTCCGGAGTCCACATTGCCGTTATCTTAACTGTGAGACACATTGACGCCGCATGTCTCAACTTCTCTTTTTCGGACAGCCACCCAAAACCTTGTGATTCAACGACATACTATTGTGTATGCATATTCTTGTGTGCAAACGATTTAATATATACAGTGACAGATAGGCGTTTACCGATCGGTTACAAGACGCAGTCGGGCTCGCTCTAGAGCCCCGATTGCAGCAGCACGGCAAGTGACACTGCAAGAGCCAGTAGCACAGTATTCAACCCGTTTGACTTCTGACTAACAAGGTTTCGAACCATGGGTGGCTCACCACTTGGGGTTGGGTATGACTGGCTGATGATAGCTAATCAGCCAGAAATGGCCGTTCCAGTCTCCTTAGTTTTTGTCGGTTGTGTCATTCTGGTTATGTTTATATTTTTTCTTGAGAAAGGGGTTACTCACATCGCACAGGTGGGGCGTGTAAAATTTTAGAGGGGAATGGCTGAACGTATTACGTAAAACTCGTGCGCCATCATTAGACCACCGATCAACTATGCCCTTCGATTATTGCACATGCACCACTTAAGTCACCGACTCGTTACCCAGGAGTGACG